TATTTTGTTTTTTCTTCATCATTTTCATCTCCTTTCTCTGCTTCTTGGAGGGGAACGTCGTCACTTCTCTCGCCATTAACAGAAAAGTAGACGTACTTGTAGAAATAGGACATAATCATGAAGATGATCATTACCAGGGATAATAAGCCAGCAAAGAAGAAAAACTCGTTTGCCTGGAAATGAAAAAGAAATAATCATTATACTGAGAAAACAAAATAGCAATTGTTCAACTTGCTACGACGCTGATCTGAGGCAAAGCTTAAACCACAAAATCAGCTAATGTAGCATCAAAAATTGGAAATAAGACTTTTTTCTTGACAAGTCACGCTACATACTTTTATGTCACAGAACACGTCACGCAAGCGACAATCATAAGGCCTTATTTTTTTGTTTGGGGTGGGGTGAGGGGTGGGGGTGAGGACATACACCTTTGCCTTGACCAGAGGAAGCCCAGTAATGGTAGTAACCTTTGGAGAATGACAAAGGAAGGCGGGCAAGAAAACGGATTGAAATTTGAAACATGGAGAACGCGCGGCTACAATTCTAACAACTCTGAAATTCAACAGTCACTGTCAATTTAAAGGAATTTTGAATCACTGGTTACGTTCTGAAGAATTACGAAGCACACTTATAGCCGCTATCTAAACAACACCCCTGTTCTTACCATGTTATCCGTGAGTCTCGCTTCAGCGAATATTACAACAATAGCGTTTCCAACAGACACAGTCATAAGCCAGCCAGCCATAACACACGACTTCATGCTGACGGGAGCCTAATAAGGAGAGAGATTGAGAATAAACTGCCATGAGAACGTCAGTGAACAGAGACAAGTGTAAATCCGTAAAATGGTTCAACATTTGGGTCTGAGAAAGCTGTTGGTTAACGACAGCAAGCCACAACAAGTCACCCACGAATAAGTGATTACCACTTAAGGGTGACTTTCTCAGCATACTATATTCTCGGTTTGCGGGAACGGTGAAGGGAAACCTCTTGGAAGCAAAAAAACGCTTTTCAAAACAGTCCAACTTCCCATGCACAACATCAACACGAAATAAGTGCCTGCTAGAAGACGCTCCACCGTCAATGTAGGACTTTTCCACTCATTCAAAGGCTCTTTTTTTCAGTTTAACCCAAGTCACTCTAGTCCAGTTCCCGCCCTCTGTCACGCATTGCTTCGCTCTTACGTTGCGTGACAGGCAGTCAGCTGGAACTCTCTTCCAGTCATTGAAAGGCGCTTTTTATTACAAGTTTGACGCACGTCACTCTAGTCTAGTTCCGGCCCTCTATCACGCAACGCTTCGCTCTTGCGTTGCGTAATAGGAAGAGGACCAGAACTGGGTAAAGTCAGAGGGACTGAGCTCCAGAGGCACTCACCTGAGAGTAAGCGAACTCCAGCCCTGTTATGGAGAACAGGACTTCTCCAGCTGTGATAGTGACGTATTGAGGAATCTGCCACAGCATGGAAATTGACTTGGGACTCACGTCTGCAAACTTCTTTATTATTAGCTGAAAGATTTGAGACAATGAATTAATCAAACAGCCTAACCTTAACAATAGTTGCAACCGTTTCAAGGCAAATCTAGAGAGAGATCATGTTTCTGGGGGAAATCTCTTCGCTGCGTCAGCGGTCAGATAATGAACCTTTTCGTTTACTACGAGCATGTATTCAGACTCCTTGTAGACACATGATGTCTTCACGACAATTAACATTTCAAGACGTGAAAGGAACTTTTACTTGCTAAATTATTACGATTTTCCCTGACTTTTCTTCAAAATGTCCATTCTCCCTGACTCAAAATAAAATTCCCCGACTTTCCCTCACCCTGAAGAATATTTTTCCCCGACCATTTTCTAACCTGTGGCCACCCTGAAGGACGCAATGCCATTACAAAATACAACGTAAGATTTATTATAACCACAGAAATACAGAACGAGATCTTCATTGAAAGGAAAAGCCAACCTCGCTAGTTTTGTCGGGATTTGGTTGGATGATAGCACTGTACACGCCACCATTAGCAAAATACACCTTCTGATCCAAGAGCTTCGTGTCTGTACCAGCTGTCATGATTTTTATTGGATACCTGAAAGGAAAACGTGACACAAAGAAACAACGCTCAGAGTAACGCAACGTAATACAAAGAAACAACATTCAGAGTAACGCAACGTAACACAAAGAAACAACGCTCAGACTAACACAACGTAACACAAAGAAACAACGCTCAGAGTAACGCAATGTAACACAAAGAACCAACGCTCAGAGTAACACAACAGTCGCTGTTTTATGCCCAACTCAAGAAAACGTGATCTGCTGTACCCATACCAAGACGAAGTACGAATACTTCCTGAGAAAACGGTGACCTTGACTGAAAAACAAACGACGGATTTTCAAAAAAAAAAAACCCACTTTTTTCTTAGGCCCGGTCCACACCACGCCGGGTGAATTTGAAAAGGCAACAATCACCGGTCATTTTAGATCTGTGTTAGAGGCCTTAGAGTTTCCGTCTGAAGAGTTTTGGGTCGTCCTGTAATACTGGTATATAACTACGCGAAAAATTACAAAGTAACCTACAGTTGTAATAATCCCGATTTGTTCTCTTATTCTCATTACCCGTATGCTTGACTATGAATACAAAATGTAAGAGGAAATTAGATGCTGATAACTTACTTCTTTGCCAGTAGTTTCTTATATTCGGTGTTCTTGAAAGGTCCGACTCCACTGTACCTCAAGGTTTTGTTGAGTTTTATGTCCACAAACGGTGCAACATCTCCTCCAGCGTAAAGAAATCTGGAAAGTTTAGACAACCATCAGAAAACGCTTTTCATGTACAGTTAGTGCAAGATGCTACCCACGATATTCCTGTAAACCTCAGATTTTCCTGGCTTTCTATGTTCATTTATAAAAACTGCAAAGGTAACAAAGCAGGGCCGGTTGTCCGAAGTCCGATTAAGCCAACCCAGGATTAGCGAGAATTTTGTAACTTTTCCTTGAGGTTTTCTGTTTATATTGTTTTCCCTTCAGTTTTGAGTTTGAATAGTCTCAAAGTCTCAAACTACACAAAACATAAGCAGTAAAAAGCATTTTTTATACAAGAAAAGTTAATACTTCTGTTAACTTTCAATCCTGGGTTAGCGTTAACCGGCATTTTCGAACGACCTGGCCCATTGCACAAATTGGACGAAAACAGCTACAACCCAGTCTGTCTAAGATCCAGGAACATGTATCCTTCTTAGACGAAAGAGTTTCACTAAGATGTTTCCGATCTAAAGAGTAGCTTACTTCAGTGTAAGGAAAACCTAACAACATCGGTAAATTTATCTTGTGAATCATTACAGACCTGACTTTTGTAATACCTCCATTCAGTGGTTCAACAATGTCATCAAACTAATTAACGAAGACAGGAACACAACGTCAGTTAGAACATCCTCATGTGCACGCACCCTCACCCCACTCCCCCTGGTTTCAACCTCAAAGAATGAGCTGTCTTAGAATCATCAGTATGTACTGTAGTACACATTGCATGTTTTCAAAGTGTCCTAGTAACTACATTTCAAGGGTGCGTAGTCAGCCCCATCCGTTTAGGGTGTGAGTGGATTAAATATATCTTAAGACAGCAATTTCTCTTATACTCGAAGAGCCACGCCACGGTTTGTGCATCTTGAAATGTTCAGCCTAAATTTTTCAAGTTCGTCGAGTGTAATCTGAGTTAATCTTCTCCATCCTTAACCATCCTTGTTCCTTTATGGTTTATTATCATCTCTTTACTGTTTTTCTTTCTCAGTAAACTGTTATTTTCAGGCTTCCTTCAATTTAAAAGTAGTTTTGTACATGGCCAAGATAACTAAAAAAACCCGTGACTGAGTTCCTTTAAGGAATCAAGGCAATTAAAGAAGATCCGGTTGAACTCACTTGTTCGCCAATCAGCGCATTCTTTTCAATTCCAACAACGAAAGAGGACGCTCCTTTCTCTTTGATCTTGACAGAGAATGACTTGGTCAGTGAAGTGGGACAGTTCACTGTTTTCACGTTGATTGAATCCAGCGTGACTGGGACGTGATAATACTCTGAATCCTGAAAACCAAAGCAGATCAGTGTTTGGAGGTTAGAAATGGAGGCAGCGTGGCCGAGTGGTTAGGGCGCCGGACCTGAAATCCGGAGATCGCGGGTTCAAGTCCCGCTCTGACCACTAAGCTGGAGTTGTTTCTCGGTAGACCCTATTTCAACTCCTCGGTCACGCTTGTAAATAGCCAACTAGTCTGCCTCACGCCAGTTGGGATCTTTAAGCCTATTATGTTTCGTCAGAATATTTCTTTCTTTCAGTTTAAGTAGCCTGCCTGTGAACTACTAGGTGTAGCTAAGCGCATTGACCACTATAAACAACAATATTTGAACACTTTTTTTGAACATTTTGCAACTTCGATATCGACGCCAACCACCAAGCAGGTTATTATCAACGCTTAAAGTGCAACTTCACTTTCTAACTCATCAGAAATCACACATGACAATTAGACCGTTACCCATGTTTTTTNATCCCAGTCAAGGAAATCATATGATTATTATGACTTCATGGCTTTTTTTCGAAAAGCTCCGTTTTCAAAATGTTTTCCGTCCACACAGTCACTAAAACGCAAAGCCGGCGTTTTCAAATTCCTCCGGTTTAAGGAGCGTTTTCGAAAAGCTCCGTTTTCGTGACGGATTAGTGTGGTCGACGGTAGGTCTAACCGTAGAAATAAAGCTGCATTTTCAAATTTCTCCGACGTACAGTGGACGAGGCCTCATTCAAAGATAACACCTTCCAAAACATCTGACCGCAAGTAAGTAACCTTAATACATGTAAAACGTCCAGTGAAGAACTTACAAGAACTTACTGTACACAAACACTGACTAAGTTTCATTTTTACAGGACATTGTTTACGCAGATTTCAAAAGTAAGGTCATTCATGGATCTCATTTCAACTTAGTTTCGGACAACTAAAAGTGAAATCAGAGTGAAAACTGTCTTTAAAACTCAAAGGAACAGTGACAAATCAAAATAGGCCATATTTGTATTCTTAGTATTGGATTGGAACTACAGTGCACAGTGGAACTTCGCCTTACGATCACCTTACTATTACGGCCACTTTTTTTGGTTTCAATTTTCTAAAAATTATATCTGCATTACAGAACAGTTTTTCAGTGCAATTGTGATATATCTAGTGTGAAGACGCCACTCAATTTAGATCGGTCATGAGGTGTGACCCTACCCTGTTAATACGGCCAAATTTTCACGGTCTGTTAGTGACCGTATTAATGCGGTTTCACTGTAGCTAACAGTGGAGGCTCATGATCATGCAGAGGAATATCAATAAAAAAAAGAGACAAATGTCATTTGCATTTGAAGACTCCTCGCATTAGCCTCAGTTCCAAGCTAGTTCCAGTCCTATACCGAGGATATGAAAATGGTATATTTTTAAAAGGCAGACGAAACTCAACACAGCTATGTAGAATGTGTCTGTAGCTTCCTGCTGGATAACTTACCTGTATAGCTATCTGAATGAATGCCGCCATTACAAATGAACATGCTGCCAGCAGCATTCCAGCACACATGCGCTGTAAAGGTCTGCAAGGTAATAATCACAATAAATTTCTTCTTTAATTTTGTTTTAGAACTACAGTCGCACTGAATTCATAAGCAGCATGCAAGCAGCAACAAATGGAATACTATACTTTATCCAAAGATCACCCCAGTTATGTGGAATGCATCATAAGCAGTTGCGTAAATAAAGCCTGAGAAAAAATATTCAGGCTTGAACTGGACCTACACTTCTAAATGTCATTCGCACTCAAATTTTGAGNGAGTGAAAACTGTCTTTAAAACTCAAAGGAACAGTGACAAATCAAAATAGGCCATATTTGTATTCTTAGTATTGGATTGGAACTACAGTGCACAGTGGAACTTCGCCTTACGATCACCTTGCTATTACGGCCACTTTTTCGGTTTCAATTTTCTAAAAATTATATCTGCGTTAAAGAAGAGTTTTTAAGTGCAATTGGGATATATCTAGTGTTAAGACGTCCCTCAATAAGATCGGTCATGAGGTTTGACCCTACCCCGTTAATACGGCCAAATTTCCATGGTCTGTTAGTGACTGTATTAACGCGGTTTCACTGTAGCTTGCAGTGGAGGCTCATGGAGAGGAATATCAATTAAAAAAGAGAGAAATGTCATTTGCATTTGAAGACTCCTCGCATTAGCCTCAGTTCCAAGCTAGTTCCAGTCCTATACCGAGGATATGAAAATGGTATATTTTTAAAAGGCAGACGAAACTCAACACAGCTATGTAGAATGTGTCTGTAGCTTCCTGCTGGATAACTTACCTGTATAGCTATCTGAATGAATGCCGCCATTACAAATGAACATGCTGCCANCAAAATGTGCGAGACATGCAGCTTACAACGCTTAACGTTCCAGTGAAAAATCTGACGCGTTAAATTAAGACTGCAGTTTTGGCAGGAATTTCAGTGCACGCGTGCATAGGGTTTGATTTCTGTAAGGGCAATCCCGTCTCCAGAACGCACGCGTTTCCGGTCGTTGCAGCTTCTGGGAACGAGATTGTCGGGAAGGATTTACCAATAGTAACACTGGTGTTGGAAAAATATGCCATAGTGATCCATAATGATAATCTAACTTACAATATTTCCATTCATTTCTTCAGCTTGAAGAGTCCAGCGTGATCCCTAGAATTAATATCAAGAATAACAAACATCATAAGATGATTATGCACCTTTCTATAAACACAGGGTGTAGCAAAATTCATGTTCAGAAGTTTATGCAAATGCCACATCTTAAAGTTTATACTTAAGCTTTGTTTTCTGTAGGCTTCTTGGCAGTTTTAACTTATTTGTATCAGTGAAATCAACAGTGGTGAATGAAATAATCTCACACACTGATTACAGTATCTCAATGTCCTTGGTAAGCAGTCAAACAATTCCAGTTGGAGGGGGAGATGGGGAGGTAGAATGATTGTGAGTGCTTGTGGTTCACGGTAACCTCTCACCTGTTGATCAAAGAGAGTCCAGAAAACAGGCAAAGGAAGAAACAAGAAAAGAACTTTGAAGAGTGCCTTGATGTCTTCCACCATATGAGACTACAAAACAATTGAACAAAATGAAATATAACCATGTACTGCATGTAAATAACGAAAAAATATGACTGAGGCAATGTCCATAGTTAAATTCTCTTTTTAGGTATTTAGGCTGCTTATGATGATTATCAACAACAGAAAACGAAAAAGATGACTGAGGCAAGTGCCTTGGTTTGTCTGTTACTAGCTACCGCCCTGAACAGACCATCACAGTCTATACATGTACTGTAAATAGTAAGAAAAACTTCATGTTACACAAAGGAACTCACACTAAGCTAAGTGGAAAGGTTGCAACTCTAAAAACATGCATGTAACTACACACCTCACATTACTAACATTTACAAAGACACAGAATGGAAAAGCTTAAAGATTCAACTAAAGTATAAATAGAATGCTAGTGGAATTACTTTGTTAGAACAACAACAAAAAAAGGACAGTATATGACATACTCCATAATCCTCTTTTGCATAGTCCATCCAGTGTTCCCTCTTATCGCCTTTTCCAATACTCTTAACTTTATTCTTGATGGCATTCTGAACAAAAAAANCACTAATTTACTTATGAATTCTGTGAAATGTAACGAAAAAATATATTACTGTATTCTATACTTCAACTGCTTTCTGCTATATAATAATAAAAAATTTTATATAGCCATGTATTTCTTGCTTAATCATTGGTGAATTTTACAGATACAGAATACGTTTTACAGATTACATTATTGTAAAAATAGCATTACCCTCCATGTTGGCATACATGTATGTGTGACTGGGCAACACCTACCTCTTAACATTGGCGTGACAATCATTGATAAAAGGCTACCCAGATTGATGGCAAAATAGAAAATGGAAAAATAGCTTTGGAGTAAATGCTCCTGCAAAGAAAATTTTAGGAAAAACAGTAATGAATAAAAGTAAGTTTCAGTATTGTGTAGCAAGATTGCGTTGAAGGGTGACAGAGATTGCGTTACATACTTGATCAGCATTGAACTGATCGCCTCCAAACGCTGACACACAAGGTTTGATTCCTCCAGTGCCAAGAGCAATTAACAGCAGTCCAACCATGGGCCCAACTCTGGGGAAAAGAGCCAAAAAAGCAAAAAACAAATCAAATTATTTAAAACAAATCCCCATCAACTACACATTACAATCACTTGTACATGAAGAGGCGTTTCTAGGGGAGGGATCCTCCCTTATTTTGGGTAAAAAAAAAAAGAAATCACNCCGCCTCCTTAGCTCAAAGTCTGGATCTGCCACTGAGTGACATGTACAGTATTTCTTCAAAGTCAAAGTTACAATGACAATGGTTTCATTAAGAGCTACAATGTAGGTACTGGGCAATTGACCAGCTGTGAACTAAGACAATTTTGCTTCCCTGGTTTGACCATCTAGAGAAATGTTTTCTTATAGGGAAGTACAATTCCAACAGTTTTGCCTGCCTGTGAAAACCATTTGCTTACCTGCTGAAAACATTAATTAATGATACCCCTGTGATAACAAAGTTGTATGATTCCCCGTTCATAAATATGCAGGAAAGGATCTCATTGACAAATTCACACACTATTGTTAGTCGCGCTTGTTAAACTGCAATTTGAGCACAGCCAAGGCCTGGCTGAGATAAAGGTACAAAAATCCTATTTTGCTTGACTATGTACTCACATTTTTACTTGGGCCAGGACTGCTGGAATTGACGTAATAGCTACGGTGACATTTCCAGTTGCATAAATTATGGAAACATAAAGTATTGTCCTGCAAAAATAATGTGAAATTATCAATAAGCACAAAATAATGTACTCCACGTAACTAAAGTCAATTTCAACAAAAGAACTAAATTGTCACTTATAGCCATCTCTTAGGCCCCATCCACATTACACTGGAGAAATCTGAAAACCCAGCTTTATTTCTACAGTGTTGCCTGCCGTCCACACCAATCTATCTTAAAACGGAACTTTATAAAAAATGCTGTTCAAACCTGAGGAGCTCGGGACCTCAATCAGTCTCACTGGATCAAGCTTTACCCCTGTGGGTAAAGTATTTAGGAGGGTGGGGAGACCATTTTAGGGAGAGTGAAGGGGTGGGGCAATTATTCAAAAGGGAGGTGGTTATTTCAAATAGTCCTGACTTAGGGGGCATTTATTCTAGGGGGTGATTATTCCAGGAAGCAATTATTCGAGAGGGAGATTAATGGAGGGGTGGGAATTTTTTGTGGAAATATGGTGACTACATTGTAATAAACTGAAAGTCACTGACTTGTACTTCCCGAGCAGACTGTCTGCCAACATGGCTCCAAAGAGAGGACTGAAATAACACAACATGTTGAATGCATGGTAGATGGCTGTGGCAGAATCATCATCCATCTTCAACATCTGCGTCAGGTATATAACAAGAATGGCTACAGAGAACAAACATCCAAAAAATGAATGAGACTATTGAGAAGACTGTTATCAGTCAGTTCAGAACCAGGGCCTGGTTGTCAAAATGTTATCCATCACATAATTAAATGGTACTACACTTTCTTTGGTTTTGTTCACAACAGGTTCAGGACTAAATTTGGGGATGGCTTTCAGCATCCATGTCAAGCTGTACTTTAGACCCTTTCCCAAACACTGTATAAGTACACTGTATGTACCTGTAGATGTATAATTCCCCATGCTGATTTACTGTAATTACTCACACTCTCTATATATCATTTTCATGTCAAAAAAGTGATATAAATTACATTTATCAGTGATTGGTGTGATACATGCATGCTTACTTTCAATTGGTTTTCATTTTTGTTACTGATTGACTAAACCTTACCATGTATTCCATAATAAGAGAATCTTTCACAAAATTCATTTCCCAGGATGTACCACACAGAACTAGGGTACCCTGTCTTGTGAAACACATTCTGAAACAAAATAAACTTATTCATTACCTTTTTTTATCTTTTTTTGGGAACAAACATCAAAATACTTCACACATACATACAGTACTTAGCACATGCTCTCGTCTGGAAGTTCTTAAATACTGTAAAT